TCCCCATAGAGCCACACCCTGAATTTGGACTTCTAGCCTCCAAAACTGTGAGAAAATAGACTTCTGTTCTTTAAAGCCACCCACTTGTGATATTTCTGTTACAACATGCTCCATGTCAGGTCCGGAGCTGAGGGCTGAAGATTCCCACACATGACTCTGGGGAGGGACAGATGACAAATACTGAACACACAGAGGCTTTACAATGAAGAGGGGCAATCTTAGAGGAGGCAGGATAGTGCAGCGGTTAACTACAGGGCTAGGGCAGGACGAGGGACTTAGAGCTAAGCTGCCTGTGTTCGAATCCTAGCTCTGTTCATTTCCAGAGATGTGACCTTGGGCAGGAGACAGTCTCCCTCATGGAGATAACAAAAGCACCACCCTCACAGCTGGAGGTGAGGCTCTAGGAGGAACCTTTCAACAAGTGCCAGCTAGCATCAGGTGGAAAATGAGGAACAGCTTCCCTAAGGGCGAACTAACCTGGGGCCTGCTGGACAGCAGAGGTGAGCCAACAAAAGAAGTCCCAGGGAACAAAGGCTCAGAGGCAAGAGAAGAGAGCACGATGCCTGGGAACCTGAAGACTGGCGTGCCTGGAGCATGTCAGTAACAACCGCTACCCACGTGCCCTGGCATCACTCAAAGTGCTTTATACCGTGTGCTCACCAAATCCATACAGCACCCAGGGAGGCGGGCACGACTGTCACCGCGGTCACATGGAGACGGTAGCTGAGGGGTCAAGTGACTCGTCCAAGGCCACACAAATCACGAGTGGTGACATCAGCATACGAACCCAGGCAGCCTAGTCACTGCCTGGAAGGCTGGGGGCATGGTGGGGTCCAGACCATGGCAGGCTTGGATGACGCCAGTTAACTCTAAGGCCTCTGTATCTAGAAAAGCTAAGCCACCCAAACCTGGGTGGGGTCTGAGGCACTCTGCTCAAAAGAAATGCAAAGAGCAGAGCCCTCGCTTTGCTTCGAGCTCAGGAAAGTCAGCAGCCCCCTTCCCGGCAGTTGGAGGGATGCGGAGAGTAAGCAGGCTTTCTCTGGCCTCTGGGACTCAGGGGCTTCAGCAGCACGAAGGACGAAAGTCCGGAGGGAGGGCATTTCACCTTTCCCTGACTCAGTCGCCATCACACCTCATCCACCAGGTGAGAGTTCCTGTCTCTGGGGGAAAAACAGCAGCTCCCATCTCTTGAGCCCTTACTGCTCCACAGCACCATTTTCTTTCATCCTTACCACAACTCTCTGAGGGAGGCACTACTATTAACCCCATTTTACAAGTAGAGACCTGGTGTCTGGGGTCAGGACAGCTTCTCTGAGGAAGTGGCATATAAGCTGGCATCTGAAGGATGACAAGGTCAGCAGGGTTGGGCGCAGGGGAACCTATAAAGACCTCCGGGGGAAGGGAGCACATTCATGGGAGGGAGATGGCAAGTGGGGCCGAAGCACGGTGAGGGAGGGCACCCTGGGGACTACGGTCAGCTCTTCCCTTCCAACCAGCCCCAAAGCCCCAGGCAGAGTGGCGTGGACACGCTATTTGCTAGGACGGATATTGAAGTAAGCAGGATATTGCAAGACTTGAACCTGAGCCCTATCCCTTCTCCTCCTGGCAGCCTGGTTCCATGACAAGAAATTGGGCTTTGGAGTCCAGAGCTCCTCGTTCATAACTCTCTGAGCTCAGGCTTCTCACCTTTTAATCAGAGGGTCCTACCAGCACACTCGCCGCCCATGCTGTGGTGGCTTATGTGTTGCTCTGATGCCGCTATGCCGTGGTATTTCAAATACCAGCAGGGTCACCCATGGTGTACAGGTTTCAGCAGAGCTTCCAGAATAAGACAGACAAGGAAGAAAAGACCTGGTAATCTACTTCCAAAAATTAGCCAATGAAAACCCTACAGATTGTAACAGAATACTGTCCAATAAAGTGCTGGAGGGTGACCCCCTAGGGTGGAAGGCACTCAAAATACACAGTGGCCACAGCAGTGGACTTCAGCGTACCAACAGCTGCAAAGCTGGTGCAGGACGGGAAATGTTTCGTTCTGCTGTACACGTTGTTACCATGAGTGAGAGCTGACTCAATGGCAACCAACAACAACAAACCATCCCTGAAGTGTGGCTGCATTAAATACAATAATGGTGGGAACTGGCACTGTAAATCATAAAGTAGTTCATGATGTGAAAAAAAGGGCCGGGTTCCTTAAGAGATCCGCCAAGAGGGCGATGGACCCATATGGTTAGGAGATCGGCGTTGACCAGCTCCACTCACCCCACTATACACACGGGGCACCAGCGCTTAGATACCGCACCGGGCACGGGAGCCCCCGGACAGGCTGCCCCTGAACAGGTGGTCATAGAAATACTCGCAACGTTACAGATGATGAGCACACACCAAGCTCTAGGCGCTCCCTGACTTCCAACAGGACAGGGACTCTAGTCACTCCACTTGCTGAGCTCAGAGAGGTGAAGTGGTATGGCCGAGGTCCCACTTGCTTCCTGGGCCTGAGCAGGGGTCTGGGGTGGTGGCTGAGAAACTGACCCCTGACTCCTGGACAAGTGAGTTTCCTTCCTCCTTCTCCCTGAGCACTGAAACAGCTGCTATCAACAGGAAGGCAGGTGGGAATCCGGTAAAAAACACCCCCAAGGCAACACAGCATTTAACAGAGGTGGGGAGAAGGGCAGGCTGGTAAGGAAGAAATAAGGCACCCCCCTGCCTCCGCCAAACCCCACCAGCACCTATAACCCAAACTGTCCTTTACATTTCAGTCTCCCAACCTTTCCCCAAGGCGCTATCACCTTGGCTCCACCTTAATCAGCTGAGACTGCACTGTTCAATACGCTGGCCGCCGCTAGCCACTTGAGGCTATTTAAATTTAAACTCATTAAAATTAAATAAAATTAAAACTCCAGTTCCTCAGTTGTACTAGCCACATTTCAAGTGCTCAGTAGTCACAAGTGGATAATGCAGATATAGAACATTTCCATTATCACAAGAAGTTCTATTGGACAACCCTGGTCAAAATCCTTTTTAACTAAAAGCTACTGTCCCTTTATACCACTAAAAAAAAAAAAAAAAAAAAAAAAACTCTTTAATCTTAGAAAGAACCAGTAGGGAAACTAAAAATAGAGAAGAGGAGGGGCGAGGACTCTAAAAAAATAAAAATAAATAAAAAGGACTCACGCACATGCGCGCGTGCGAGGCAAGAGAAGTACAGAGACTGAGTCAGGAGGGAAAGATTTAATCAGCCACAAGTGACCTTTCCCTACTCTTGCCCCAATCTGACCCATCTCCACCTCCCTGGCCCAGCCAATGGGCTACTGGGAATGCCATCAGCTGTGGAGGAAATGATTGTTTAAAATCAGCAGAAGACAACAACCCAAGGCAAGAGACTGCCCCACTTCAGATCCTGCAACAGCAACCTTTCCACTTTTACCTGCTTCAGGTGACTCCCTTCCCAAGTACCCAAGCCTCTCCCCTGACCAATCGTCTTCCCTTCCTCCCGCTTCCCCCCCGCCCCCAACCAGGGCTTCTTCCTACAGATTCCCTCTTCCTTTCATTACAGATAGGGGATCAGAGGGTCAGACCCAACCCCACAAGATCTAGATAGATTTCTCCCCAGGGCCCTTGCCAGTCCAGACTCTCCCAAGGTCACCTCCTTTGTTCCCTCCATCTCCTACGTCGGTTTCTGTCCCTTCCCTCCATCCTTACTTTCAACAGCAGCCAAGATTCCTACCACCTTTATCATATGCCAGGCCCAATTTTTAGCACTTTACATATTTAATCTTCAGAGCAGCCCGATGAAGTGGTCACTGTTAGCACTCCCATTTTACAGGGGAGAAACTGAGGTCCAGAGAGGTGCAGTACCTGACCCAAGGCCACACAGCTGGAAAGTGGCAGAGCAGGGCTATGAACCCATGCGGTCTGGTTCCAGAACCTGTCCTCTTAACCACTACTCTCTTATCTTCGAAATTTTAGTTCAAAGCTCTTCTGAAGCCCACCCACTGCCTCTCTTCTCTGAACTAGGAGATTTCTGCAACATGAGCTTGCCCTTAGCACCTACCCCCAAAGAATTCTGACCCTTTTGACAAAGAATAAAGCATTTCTCCCGTGTTTGTAAAAAATGTGGGCAAAGTTCCCGGTCTAGATCCCTCTTCCCCAACCCCCTCACTAACTCAACAAATATTTACTGAGCATCCCCTCTGTGCAGTGACCAGAACAGACAAGATCCCTGTCCTGACATTCGATCAGAGGAGAAAAGAATTAAAACTTTTTCACGCGATTCATTTGCATATGAAAATTGTGGCAAATACAGCAAAGAAGGGTCGCTGTGAGTTGGAACAGACTCGACGGCAATGGTTTGGTTTTTCTGGTTTTATAAAAGCCCAAAGAAGCCCTGGTAGCGCAGTGGTTAAAGCGCTCGGCTGCCACCCAGAGGTCGTCAGCGGTTCAAACCTATCCATCAGCTGCTCCGCAGGAGAAAGATGTGGCAGTCGGCTTCTGCAAAGATGACTCCCTTGGAAATCCCACGGGACAGTTCTGTTCTGTCCTACAGGGTCGCTATGAGTTAGAATCAACTCGAAGGCAACGGGTTTGTTTTGGTTTATAAAAGCCCATGACAGGGGGATCTGATCTCTCCTTCCTCTTCTATGAAAGAAGTTCTTTGCCCAGAAGAAAGATATTTCCTTACTAAGGCAGTTTCATTCTCCAATCTTTGAGGGGGAATGCCTCGCCTTCCCCCCATCCCTCCAAGCGGACGCCCTGGAGGTGGGGGACAACTAATGACAAGCTCCCCTCCCTCAGGACCCACGAAGGAGTTGCCTCGCTTTTCTGCGCCCAAGGAAGTGGAAGTTCTTCCCTTGAGTGTCCTCTCCAAGTGGCTCTCCTAGCCCTTGTCCCTTCTGCAACTGTGCTTTCCTCACTCCCTGCAGGGACCTCACATTCTTAAGAGAGCGTCTACATTCCTATTCCCACTTAGAGAAAACTCCTCGGGGGCCCCAGGTACTCACAGAGCTGGCCAGTCCCCGAGCCCCAAGTCGCCGCAGAAGCAAGAGGCCGGCCCTGCCCAAGCCTCGACTTGGCCCCCAGACTCTCACAGCCGCTACCGCCACCGCCATTTTCGCTAACAGCTGCTCGGCGGTCCTCCTATCTCCTTGGCCAGGCCAGGGGGTGCAATTTCATGCGCCTGACTCAGGTGCCTGCACTACCCTGCCAACCTCTTCCGGTTCCGGCGTCGCTAGGAAGCAGAGACGAGTGGACAAAACAGTATACCTTCCCAAAAAAGTCTCCGACAGACTTATTGCCGTTGTTTCCGTAACAGGCAAAGAAAAGGGCACCCTAATCATAGCCTCAGGGTTTTAGGGCCCCTGGGCCTCGGGAAGAACAGGCCCCTGCCAAGCCCCGCCCCCTCCCCTCCACTGTACAATGAATTTCCTTGAGAGGCGGGGTGGGCGGGGCCAGAATGTTGGTAAACGCTGAGCCACGTGCGGGCGCCGAACCTTGCCGCCCGAGATGGGCGCGTGCGTACTGGATAGACAGCCTGTACGCAGGCGCGCGTTGCTGGGCGGAAGCTATAGTGGCGGGTCCCACGTGGGCGCCCAAGCAATGGCGGGGGAGATGCAGATAGACACCCCGATCCGCGCTGAGACTGGGGCCGAAGCTGGCCCACGGGGCCCCGGCTGTAGCCTCCGGCACTTTGCCTGCGAACAGAATTTGCTGTCCCGGCCGGATGGCTCGGCCTCTTTCCTGCAAGGTAGGAACCCAGGTCAATACTGCCCGGGCAGCGTTCGCGCGTGCCGTGTTTGTTTTGGGGGACGGCTGCAGTGTACCGTGCAACGAAGAGTCCCCCTTCCCCACGATACTAGCTGGTAAATGTTCCCCTTGTATTGGTGCAGAACTTCGTACCTGGGTGGATACTGGATAGGCCGGGATACATCTCTCTTTCCCGACTGGAAGGAGGAAAGTATCTCCATCCTAGTAAATACTTCTCAGAATGAGAGGGGCAGGCCTCCCCATAAAAATGAATACTCCAAAACAGGAAAAACCTCTCACCAGGATAAATAACTCCCTAGACCAGACTCGTCCTCTCTCACCCCTCACACACCCCGGCTCCATATATTCCACGGTAAGGCAAACCTCCCATTTGTATAAATACCCCGCAGACTGGCAGATCACCACCACAGGCTAGACCGTAACTGTGGCAGTCTTTTACCCAAATAATTACTCTTCAGATTGAGAGTGATGTTCCCACCCTGGGTTAAGAAAGATCTCCTCCTTCCCAGCCCCACCAATTGTGTAAATATCCCTTTGACTGGGATACGCATCTCTCCATATGAACAAAGATTGGGGCGAATCGCATCTGTTGGGCAGATATCTCTTTCCCTGAGCTAAATACCTCTCAAGTTAGACTTGACTCCCTGACCCAGTCAATGAACAAAACTGATTAAAAAAAAAAAAATCCTTGCTCTCAATGGGTTTTATATTCCGGTGGGGGAGACCAACAGTAATTAAGATAAATAAATACAATGCTATAGAGAAGGGGAATAGAGTGTGCTGGAGAGGGGTTGTAATCTTATATAGGATAGTCAGGGAAGGCCTCACTGAGGAGGTGACATTTGAAGAAAGACTTGAAAGAGGCAAGGGAACAAACCCCAAAGTTCTGAGGAGGAAGAGCATACCAAGCATGGGGACCAGCAAGGACAAAGGCCCTGAGGCAAGAGCTTGTTTGAGGAACAGTCAGATGGCCACTGTGGCTGGAGCAGCAAGTGGAATGGAAAGGAGTTCATAGGAGTGGGAGGTCAGAGGGTGGTAAGGAGGATTGCTGGTCATGTAAGGCCTAGAGAGTGAGATGGGAGCCATTGGAGGTTTTGAGTGGAGGACTGACATGGTCTGAATATATGAACACAGTCTCTCTGGCTGCTTGCTGCATTGACTAGAGGGAGCATAGGGGAAGGAGGGAGATGGCAGTGGCTCAGACCTGGGTGGAAGCAGTGGAGGTGGCGAGGGCCTAGATATATTTTGAAGGTAAAACCAATAATAGCTGCAGATGGATTGGTTTGGAGATATGTGAAAAAGAGATGGGGAGGTTTGGAAGCCACTGTTCTAGTCCGGCTCTGGGTTTTTGCCCAGGTCAGCTGTGATGAGAGAAGATGAGTTCAGTCTCAGACGTTCTGTGTGCAATGCCAGGAGTCCCTGGGTGAAGCAAATGGTTAAACGCTGTGCTGCTAACTGAAAGGTTGGCACTTTGAACCCAGCCAGAGGCACCTCAGAAGAAAGTCCTGGTGATCTGCTTCCAAAAAAATCAGCCATTGAAAACCCTGTGGAGCACAGTTCTATTCTGACCCACATGGGGTTGCCATGAGTCGGAATCAGCTCGATGGCAACTAGTTGGGGTTTTTGGTATTAAGCATCGGAGTGGAAATGTGCACTGGGCAGTTGTTTATACGAGTCTGGAATTCAAAGGAGATAGCCAAGTTGGACATCCACGCTTTGGGATCCTCTGGCTATAGACAGTGTTTAAGCAATCGATTGGATGAATCACCACTGAAATGAGTGGAGATAGAAAGGGGAAGAGGTCCTGGACTAAGCCTTGGTCTTTCAGCTTTGAGAGTTGATGGAGGTGTGAGGAACTAGCAGAAGAGACTGAGAAGGAGCAGCCTGTGAAGTAGGGGAAAAGCCTGGAGAGGGGCAGACCTGGAGCCAGAAGTAAGGGTTGACAGCCATGTTTGTCCTACGGAAGGCTGGGTCACGTGACGGTAGAGTAGACCTAAGGGTTTGGCGGTTTGGAGATAACTGGTGACCCTGCCCAGAGCTGCTTCAGTGGAAAGGTGGGATCCAAAGCCTTGTCATTGGGTCAAGGAGGAGAGGAAGAAGAGACAGAGAGTGAAGACAACTCTTTGGGAGTTTTACTGTAAGAGCATCAGATAAATGGGGCCGTGGTTGAAGATGGCAGTCCCCAGCTAGCACAAACCATTAAAGCTCTCAGCTGCTAACTGAAAGGTTGGAGGTTCAGATCCACCCAGAGGTGCATCACAAGAAAGGCCCTGTGATCTACTTCCCCCAAATCAGCCATAGAAAACCCTATGGAGCACAGTGGTACTCTGACACACGTGGGGTTGCCATGAGTCGGGATCAACTCCATGGCATTTGGTTTGGGTTTTGGGTTTTTTTTGGTGAAAGATGGATGTGTGGTGGACGGAGGAGAGAATTGCAGGAGGTGGGCTGCTTGAGGGAGTCCTGGTGGCGCCGTGGTTAAAGCGCTTGGCTGCTAACCAGAAGTTTGGCGGTTCGAACCCACCAGTCGCTCCACAGGAGAAAGATGTGGCAGTCTGCTTCCATAAAGATTTACATACAGCCTTGGAAACCCTACGGGGCAGTTTTACTCTTGTCCTATTAGGTCACTATGAGTTGGAATCAACTCAACAGTGGTGGGTTTTTGGGAGCTGCTTAAGAAGGTACAGGGGGAGCACAGGCAGGAAATCTGGAGTAACAGGTGTGAAGACCCCCTCGAGGATCTAGCCTACTACCATAGCGAATACCTTCACGGCTCCCTTCAGAATAGATTTCCTGGATCCAAGAACACCTCCCCTCTGAAGGGTGAATTGGGTTTCCCGGGAAGAGAGTCCCTTGACTGTGTGGCAGTTCCTCCTCCTCAACCCCGGGAAAAATCGCCCCAAACCGGGGACCTTCCCAGGCCTCCCTCAGGCTAAGCCCTCTTGCTGAATTTAGATGAAGTCTCTTACTACCACCGGTTGCCATCAAGTTGATTCCAACCCATGGCGAGCCCATGTGTGTCGGAGCAGAACTGTGCTCCATTGGGTTGATTTTTCAGAAGTAAATGACCAGGACTTTCTTCTAAAGTATCTTTGGGTGGACTCAAACTTCCAGCCTTTTGGTTAACAGCTGAGCATGTTAACCATTTGCATCACGCAGGGACTCCTGAAATCTCTTCAAACTTAAGAAATAAGTAGAAAGGCAGCTCCTCCTTCATCCTAAAACCCCAAAGCCACAGGATCGTGGAGCAAGGGGAGTCCTTGCAGACCCTCAAAATTATGTTCAGCGTCCCTGGCAAGGTTGTTACGGTTGCAGAGTCCCAGAAACCACCCCACACCTGCTAAGGCTGGCTCTCTCCGTTTTTGGTGAATTCCTGCGGTGATTCTGGTGCAGATCAGTGTTTAAGGAACTGCGTTTGAGCGCCATGTGGTCACACTGCAGGCTGCAGCCCTGGCTGCACATTAGAATCACCTGGGAAACTTTGAGAAGCCCAGTGCCCGAGCCCCATCCCTCAACGGCCTGGGCTTCGGTATCTTCTAAAGCTCCCCAGTGATCCCACTGTGCAGCACGGGTTGAGAACCACTGTGGCGGTGGGTTGCAACCAGCATTCTTTTTCAACGGTAGGAAATACCGGGCAGAGTACATCATAGGTGGTAATGGCAAGAGTCCTTTTGTGACGCCCTCGCTGTCTTTATGTTGTTGTTGCTGGTGTCATTGAGTCAGTTCCGACTGACACCGACCTTCTGTACAACAGAACAAAACACTGCCCTGTCCTGTGCCAACCTCACAATCATTGCTGTGCTTGAGCCCATTGTTGCAGCCACTGTGTCAGTCCATCTCACTGAGGGTCTTCCTCTTTTTTTGCTGACCCTCTACTTTACAAAGCATGAGGTCCTTCTTCAGGGATTGATCCCTCCTGATATCACGTCTAAAGTATGTGAGACGTAGTATTGCCGTCCTTGCTTCTAAGGAGCATTCTGGTTGTACTTCTTCCAAGAGAGATTTATTCATTCTTCTGGCAGTCCACGGTATATTCGATATTCTTTGCCAATATCACAATTCAAAGGTATCAGTTCTTCTTCGGTCTTCCTTACTCATGCAGCTTTTGCATGCATATGAGGCTATTGAAAACACCATGGCTTGGGTCAGGTGCACCTTAGTCTTCAAGATGATATCTTTGCTTTTTAACACTTTAAAGAGGTCTTTTGCAGCAGATTTGCCCAAGGCAATGCGTCTTTTGATTTCTTTCTTTCTTTCTTTCTTTTTTTTATTGTATGATCTCACATTTAAGAGATAAAAATAGGTACATACACAGAGGCCAGTGTTCATTGTTGGCTACCAGGGGTGGGGAAGGGAAGGGGGGAATCGGTCTCTAGGTTGTTGCTGTTAGGTGCTGTCGAGTTGGTTCCCACTGATAGCGACCCTACGTACAACAGAACGAAACATGCCCAGTCCTGCGTCATCCTTACAGTTGTTGCTATGTTTAAGCCCATTGTTGCAGCCACCGTGTCAATTCATCTCATTGAGGGTCTTCCTCTTTTTCACTGACTGTCTACTTTACCAAGCATGATGTCCTTCTTCAGGAACTGGTCCCTCCTGATAACATGTCCAAAGTACATGAGACAAAGTCTCACCATCCTTGCTTCTAAGGAACATTCTGGCTGTACTTCTTCCAAGACAGATTTGTTCATTCTTCCGGCAGTCCATGGTATATTCAACAGTCTTTGTCAACGCCGTAATTCAAATGCATCAATTCTTCTTCAGTTTTTCATTGTCCAGCTTTCACATGCATATGAGGCAACTGAAAATATCATGGCTTGGATCAGATGCACCTTAGTCCTCAAAGTGACGTCTTTGCTTTTTAACACTTTAAAGACATCTTTTCAACAGAGGGTTCTGGACAGAGCCGGAGAAGGATGTAGAGCATAATTCTAACTCACAAAAAAAAAAAAAAAAAAA